GAGAAAGATGGCTTAGTCAATAAACATCGGTAGAGCCACTGGACACCCATTTTCTGACAGGGGTGGAAGGGAGGATGGGGGCTGGGACCCCACTTGACTGTCCACCAAAAAGTCTAAAGTGAAACCAGATTTCAACAAACATGCACACAAAGAATCCCAATGGTAGTGAAGAAAACACAGAAGAGAACGGCTTTATTATCTTAAAGTGGGAACTGACTTCCTAAGTTTAATAAAGTAAGCTTTATGGCTGCTAAGAGGCCATAAATAAACGATGGAGAAATCTATCTTAAAATGTAACATTTCTCCCTAGCTGAAGTTGGGAAAAACCATTTGCAATATGTATGACTACAACAGTCCTAATATCCTTAGGAATAATTCCTATTAAAAACAAACACCCACCCACAAGAACCCAATAGAAAAATACTAGGCATTTCAAGGAAACGGAAGAGTGTCTCAAACAATCATAAAGAAGTTCAACCAAAGTCATAACAAGGGAGATGAAATGGGGTCTAGGATGATCACATGGTTTGGCAAGAACCTGGGCCAAGAGGTATTCTTGTAGAGTTTTTCATGAGAGTAAAAATTGCCGTCTTTGGAGAGCAAATTGGAAACTGCTCAAACTTAAAAATGTGCATTCCTTTTGACCAGTAATTCTGTTTTTTAGGAATGTATCCTATAATTCTATAAACATACGTATGTACTTCTCACTGAGTGCTCTTCTGTGATGCCTACCTATAGTTTCTGCTGTATGTGTGCTGTTTGTGCATTCACACAAACATACACAATTAAAAAAAAATATTTCCATTGATTTCCCACCACTCATGGAGCCCGCAGCCCCAGCATGTGCTGTGACAGGGAATCAAAGCAGCATTCCCTCTGTGCTCCGGACAACACCCAACCAACTGAGCCACACTGGCCAGGGCAACACATAGACAATTTAAATGCCTTAATGATCATACCCTTCCTTTCCCAGGGTCGGTTCGGACAGCCATGAGTATAGTATGTTATCCTGGAGACCTGAACTAAACTGGGCCAGACTTCTCTGGTCTTAGGATTGGAAGCGAGTTTCTGCTAGTCCTGTGAGGTGTGGACCACCAGGCCTGGGCAGCGCCCCGCGCTGTTCTCCCCCCCATGCCAGCCCCCCATCCCCCCATGGAAACTGAGACATAGAGAAATAAAGCCAGACCTGAGACCACTCAGGAAGTCTCACAGCTCCTGCTGGATCCCTGAGCTGCCTTCTGGTCCCTCATCTGCACAAGTGCAGGCTCGCTCTCCTTACATGTTGCATGAGATACCCCTGTGTTCTGTCCACGTATTCCTCAAAGCTTGCCTTCTTTATTTCTTCAGTTAGCCAGAGTTTATTTATAACCACAATATCCTTGTCTAAGATACTCAGTATAAATCCTTCTATCCCAGAAACTGACACGTGGTTTTTTCTAAGGGGAACATAGGAATTCATGTGACAGTGGGAATTTCCCACAGTTATCTTAGGAATTATGTCGCAAAGGTTTCCACACCCATTTTACAGATGAAAAGGCTGAGGCTAAATATAATTAAGAGGAAAATTCGAAATAACAGACCCCTTGATTATGCTCTAGGGTTTTCTAAAATACCATGATAAAAATAGAAAGAAAATGAGAGAAAAGAGCCTTTAATGGGCTGGAGGCTTTATTCTCCAGCCAAGTCCTCCTTCCTGCTAATCTCTGCCTCCCCAGTATAGTCCTGCTCGCATGGCTGCCCTGGGCTCGGCCAGCCTCCCTCCTGCCTTACCTCCAGGCTTCTGGAAGCAGTAGCACCACTCGTTGTTAGAGAGCTTGCCGTCCTTGAAGGAGTCACAGGAGTTGAAGAGAGGCTTGATACAGGGCTCATACTTGTCCAGGTAGATGGCATTGATCTCTGAGTGGTCGAGCAGGAGGTCATAGTTCATGTCCAACTTGTTGAACATCCAGCCCAGGGAGTCCTTGCAGATGGGCAGGATGCTGGTGTCAAACCCTGCGGAGGGAAGGCGCATCACTGCCATGGCCTGGATGTCCTGTCCCGGGAGGAGCCCAGCGCCCATCCCGACCCCCTCCTTCCTGAGGCTGTGCCCCCCCGGGGGCGGTCTCAGTGACACTCTGCTGGAATATGGTGTGGGGAGAGAGAGGGGGGCCTTAAGTGAAACAATTTAAAATGCACAAAACCAGAAGTTAGCATATAAAGAAAATATGTTTAAGGGGCACAAATCTCCAATGCTCACTTATCTGTACTGTAAGTATGGGTTTTCATTTACAAGACTTACTTAAACAGGGGTATGCCTGAAAGAAGAGTACACACAGGGTGAGTAAGAGAACTAATAACAGTACTGCAAACTACGCTTTGAGATTTGGGGAAACTATTGTGAAAAGACGGAGTAAGATGGCAAAGTCCCGCACTGCTGACCTTCCGAAGCGGCCTCACGTGCACGGGAACGGCACCAGGGGCTGCCTCGGTGCCTTTGTTCTCCCCTCAAGAGGTACGAGATGGAACCCAAACTGACTCCGACAATAGTTTCTTCTTTCCCTGGCGGAGGAGGGTTCGTTTTCTTAAAGAAATACTTGTTGCCACAATGGAAACTGCATGCACCCACATAAAAACCCTTTGCTCACCATTTGGGACACCGAGTCTGCCGTAGCCAAGCCCCAGAGAGGGCATGCCCCAAACCTAACTTTCTTTCAGACCAAAAGCACTCATGACTTCACGTCATACCACAAGCTGGATTTCTAGGACTGGCTTTATCTTCCCAGAAAACGGATGACAAAGGTCACTTTTGTCTTACTTCAGGAGCCCTGTACTGGTTCTATGAAACGATGCTGAATCCTCTCCACTGACAGATGGAAAAATAAAAGCTCAAGGTCATACAACTGTGGGGCAGGGATTCGAGCCCAGGCGGCCCTGCCCTGAGTCCACAGCCTCAGTCCATCCTCTCCCGGGGCTGCCTCTGCCCAGGGGGATGCATGGCCCTTCTGTCCTGAGGACGTCCAGTGGCGAGGCGAGGGCCCTGTTGGGGGATGGGCAGTGGAGGAACACAGTGGCGTTAGCGAAGGGGCCTGATGAGGTTGATAAGCCTACCCATATCCTGGTCACTGGGCTTCTATGTACAGGCCAGGAACCCTGCTTAGTCAGTAGGATGTAAAAGCAGAATACGCCCACCTTTTTAAAGCACTGTTTATACCAAAGGGTCTCCACTTCCGGGAGCCAGTGAATGGGTACAGGACTCTCTACCCCCCACCACCCCTGCCACCGCACTCTGCTAGAACCAGTGCTTCCCCCATTGCTCTGAGCCTGAGCTGGGACAGGCACATAGTAAGTGCTCAATAAAACTATTTGTTGAGAGAAGTTTTCTAGCTACAGCAAAGTTTACCGCCAAAAACACAAAAACCTTTCCATTTTTATATGTATTCCTTCTGCTGTCTTAGGACACATCTGAGCACATCTTTTCAAGGACAGAGACTGGGGGACACCGTGTGGCCTCTCATTTGGCTGATGGTTGCCTCTGAGGCCACCAAGTCAAGAAGAGAAGTTACCCCAACACTAAGTGGCTCCACACTTGCTGTCTACAATACTTTATGCATCAATCTCATAGGATATTAAGATTTAGTACCAGGGAAGGAGGAGTTTACTGCTGACTGCCCACCAAAAAGAAGTGCCCAGAAGGGCCAAGCCCACTTCCCACCTAGTTGGAAGGTTCTGGAAAAGAAGTGCCTGCATCTGATATCTAGGGGTGGGGTGGGGGGACAGAGCAGCCCTTCTCACTGGGCCCAAGCACGTGGGACGTCTGGGGTTCCCTAGCTTCGGTCTCTGCCTCTTCGGCCTCCATGCCACACTCCCCTCTGCTCCCCTCACTCCAGCTGCTCTGGGCCATCAAACCAGAGGCCCCTTCAGGACTCGATTAGCTTCCAGCCAGGGTGGCTCTTGCCCGGGCTCCCAGTGTCTGCAGAGGATCCCCGGGACGGCGGTGGCAAGGAGCAGCTCTCCCCACAGCAAAGTGCTCTGGGAGGGACCCAGGGGAAAGCTGCTCCAGACCAGATTACCAGTCCACACACCCACGGAAGCCCCCAGCGGGAATAAAAACACACAAAACACACCTACTTCCCCTTCGCCAGACACCACCTCTCTGTGGACACTGAGGTTCCAGGAAGCAAACACTCTCCTTCCTTTCCCGCGGAAGGTCCAAATTAGTGGAAGAAGTGTCCCCCACACCAGTGTTCCCTACCAGTATCTATGGCTTTGAGCAGCAAAGAATAACCAAGAATTAAGGGGACCATTCTCCTTTTGGCTGAAGACCTGATGCTGGTTAATGGATCCGAACAGTTACAAAGCTCCTTGTCCTGGACTAACTGCATTGTTGACTAACCCCCCCTGTGCTGCCGGCCACGTGTGGAGAACAGATGCCTACCCGTGTGGAGAAGGCATCATCGAGAGACTCTGATGAAGCACAAATGTGAGGACTGGTTCTGAGTGTTCCCTTCAGTCTATGAGGAGGCCCTGCAGTTTGGTAACAGGCTGCCTGGGAGTGTCTGTGGGAACGGAATGCAGTCTCGTGTCCACCGAGACAGATGATCAACGGTGTTTGCTACAATGTTGTTTAAAAGAGCTGAACATTAGAACAACTTCAGGGCTCCAGAGTAAAGGTCGACATCAATTATGTTACATCCATAAATTGGGATTCTCTGTAGCTTACAAGCAGAATCCTACTCAACAGCATAGAAAGGTAGCCACAGTATGTTGCTAAATGATAAAAGGTCATACAACAGGCTGCAAAGTGTGATATATATACACACACATTTTTTTTCCTATATGACAAGGAAAATGTATATATCACAACATACCTAACAGTTGTTAAAATAATGGGTTTATAGATTTTTTTTGCATTTTTATATATATTTTATCTATTTCCCCAAATGTGTATACTAAATGTATGATAATTTTGCAACCACACTTAAGTTACTCTGTAAATGCAGATTCCCAACTATGAATCCAAAATACGTATGACCGTTGTATTGTCTAGATCCTAAGGCATTTTTCCCTCCACTATATTTTAATATTTCTGAAATTGGGACATATTTTAAGCCAGCATGAATATTTAATGTAGAGTATCTTTGTTCACCCCAAAATGCTATTATTGCTAATTCAACAATGTCTGCTGAGGAAATGTGGTGTTTGAAATGAAATAAATTAGCCAGAGGATGTGGTCTTACTGCCTTGGGCCGCGTCGGAGCTGGTGGGCTTGATGACCCTGTTGGCATCCTCATGAAGGGCTCCGAACCAGTCTTTCAGCCGGGAAGCGAGGTTCCTCAACTCCTTGTCCGTGCAGGCTGGGGAAAAGCAAAGGGGGTCAGTCTGGCATTGGCTTTCCCCTCCTTAGCGCTGTGTCCTCACCATGGGGTGCCACCAACTAAGCCGGGCCCAAGAAAACTCCTCTCCAGCCACAACAGAACTCCTCACCCCCACTCTGATAACCCCCCCAAAGGTGCTGCGACCACAGATATGATGGAGCCTGGACTCCCAAGCCGTGGTGGGCTCGCGGTGTGCACCGCCTCCAAGCCCATCACAGGTGCCTCTGCTGACCCGGAACATCGGCTCTTGCAAGTTGCCAGGAAGATCACATGTCCCACTAAGCGCAGGCCAAGAGCCGGATGCGCAGGACTAGCTATGCTCTCAGGGAGAGGCTGTCTGGGCACCAGAAGGTGCAGAAACAGCAGGCTCTCAGTTTCATGTTATCCCAAGGTTTGGGTTTGTGGTTGCGGTTGTTTTGCTAGCCTTGGACAGACCGCCTTCACTTTCCCCCATAGACACATGGCTGCCTTCTCCATGGAAGAGGCCCTTCTGTTGGAGCCCACCTATGACTCTCCAGCTCATCTGGGAGGACTGAGTGACTGGGGCCAAGGAGTCCTCTTTCTGAGAACAAGAAGAGGATCTGGATGGATGGATGGATGGATGGATGGATGGTAGGGGGTGCAGGTACTGAAGGTTGCATGGAGAGCTGAGATAAAGCTGGAGGGAAGAAATCCTGAAGGAGGGACCGTGGTGCAGAGAAGGGAGCCAATGTTCCCTGGTTCCCTGATGTTACCCTAATTCTGGTTATGGAGAATCCTGGCAAAGGGTCCAGGCAGTGAGCTGCTACCAAGATGCAGAAAAATGTGCAAGGGAATAAGTGACCTTTAGCATCTGAAAGGACAGAGATAGAGACTTCAGGAACCAAAATCCCAGTAAGTAAGAAGGGACGAAGAAGTGAACCCTACAACTATCATGTCCCCCAAATTCTCAAGTCCAGGAGACAGGCTGTGAAGAAGCCAAGCAGGGGCAATGTTACAACACAGGGCCCAGTTCCCAACGTCTCCAGGTGCTGACAGGACGCGGATTAAAGCTGGAATCTACCTGCGCACAGAGACCAGCGGACACCCAGGCTCCGCTGGAAGGCATGGGGCAGCGATCAATGCGCAGATGTCTGGCCAAGCTCCATCCCCCTTTGGCGAGTGCAGGCTCGCAAGGGGTTGAGGTATGGACCCCCATTTGCCTCACAAAGAGGAGGATGAATCCCCACCAGAAGAAAAGAACATCATCCAGAGCCTCTCCTCATCCTTAGTCTGCTTCCAGGCAAGCCGCCTTTCCCTCGCCCGGGCTTGGTGGAGAGCAGAGGCAGACTTGCAGACCTGGGGCCGGAAAGGTCCCCCAACCTCCACTTGAGGGCAGGTGAGCAGACCCAGGCTGGGCTCTGCAGGCTCAGCCCTGCCTTCATGGGTGCCGCCTTCATTCCAGCTGGGATCCAGATATAAACCCTGCAAAGCATGGAGTGGGAGTGGCCACTGTTCAGACCCAGCTTGTCCATGACCTCAAGACACTGCCTTAGGGATACAGGGAGGGGCTTGTGGGACTGGAAGGAAGAAGGGAAGGAACTGAGCAAAAACAAACATGTAGATACATAACACACAGACAGACAACAGTGTGATAGCCCGAGGAAAAGGGGGTGAGATGGAGGTGGAGGAAGGCAAAGGGGGGAATTGGGGACTGAAAGAGGCTTTGCTTGGGGCAGTGGGCAGGGGCCGCACGATGCAGCGTGCAGATGATGTTTTGTTGAGTCGTACACTTCAATGTCACCCCAATAAATTCAATTTTAAGAAATTACACACACACACACACACACACACACACACACACACGGCCTTGCTTTCAACAACCAGGACAAGACTGTGTCTTAAAACACCAGCCAAAAGTGCCCCGAGAGCTGACTGACAGACCGCAGAGTAACATGTGGGGCCCACGCTGCCTGGACTGGCTGGGTGGCTCAAACAGGCAACTGAACCTCTCAGTGACTCAGTTTCCTCATCTGTAAACTCAGGACATCACAGGTGACATATGTTAGACCAAGCATGTCAGTTGCTTAGCAAAGCACATGGTATGTAGTGATTACTCAGCACGTGCCAGCTGTGACTTTTATTAACGATTATTATTTTTGTTTTTAAATTGAGGGTTTATAGATAAGCACAGAGCAAACAGCATTTGGAAAACATAAACAAAACTGGCTTTGGTCACATAGGATTTAGGTGAAATCAGGTACCTGCTAGCCAGCACAGTTGCCATTAGGCATAGTGACTATTTACATTTAAGTTATTTGAAATTAAATACAAATAAAACGTTGTTCCTCTGTTGCCCCCACCCCACTGCAAATGCTCCATAGGCGCATTGCTCTGACTCCATGAGGGTGGCTCAAGAGAACGTCTGCCCGGGAGCAGCTGTTGAACTGGATGACTTAGCCACCTGTGGGGATGCCCAGCCATCGGAGGTTCACACCATGTCCGACAACCCTGGTCATGCCTCCACTCCTTCCCTCAGTCTTTTATTTTTTTTAATTGATTTCAGAGAGGAAAGGAGAAGGAAAGAGAGAGAGAAACATCAATGATGAGAGAGAATCATTGATGGGCTGCCTCCTGCACCCCCCACACTGGGGATCAAGCCTGCAACCTGGGCATGTGCCCTGACCAGGAATTAAACTGTGACCTCCTGGTTGGTAGGTTGAAGCTCAGCCACTGAGCAACACCTGCTGGGCCTTCCCTCAGTCTTCACAGGTGAGCTGGGGAAGACCACAAGCCTGCTCCCACCAGGAGCCAGCACATCATCATCGGCCTCCGCGTGCACACACGGGGGCGGGGGGGTGCTTTCTGAGGGCTCTGGGACCTGCCCCTGGAGCAAGCTAGCACTAACAAGCAGATTGACCCCACTCAGGAGCCCTGGGGGTAGAGCGCCCACGTCTCTGGCTTTTCAGTGCTGCACAGCTCTAAGCAGGGGAGGCTGTGGTCCGTTTTCCCGGGGGAATGGGATGCAGACTCTGTGGCCAACCTCAATCTGAAAAGGAAAAATTAATAGCATCCATTTCTTCTTGATCAACACCTACACCACCTATTCCAAACATCCTCTAAGCAGAGAAAATGGCCAAGTCCCTGCCACAGGAAAGAGTCCCATTTCTCTGGGGAATGAATCAGTCTGTCATGCTAACTGAAGGTGTGCAGGTCACCAAAGCTTTAAGGGACAGGGACGGCTGAGATGCCCGCGGCTTCCCAACGTCCAGGGCGCGGATGGCGGCGCCACTGCCCTCCTGGTTGCTAGAACATCTTCTTGCATAGACCGGGCTTGTGGGAGCCAGCACTAACTGAGGCAATTAATATACCAGGTAGGTATCCTGGGTTGAAAACAATCAACACATCCGGCCTTCACAGGCCAAGGCAGTTCTGCCAGTGATGCAGGCAGGGCAGCTCTAGGACAGACAGAGGGAGGGAGGGGGCAAGTCAGGCTCCCGCCTTCATCAGCGTGGGGATAGGAGCAGCGGGCCTTGGGAAGGGCCGCGTGCAGCCTGCTGCCATCCTGTGGCCCCCCGAGCACGGGTCACGTGTGCAGCCACTGGGACTCCGTTAGAGAAAGAAGAGTCTATGGCACAGCACTCCACAGGGAGTGAAAGCAGCTCCCTCCCCTGGAAAGCCGGCAGGCAGGGGCCTGGTAAGGTGATGCACTCCCAGTGGACGCTTCCCGTCTGTTTGGAAAATAGGGACAAAATGCAATAAGCAAATGTAAGTCGGGCACATGCAGGCACCTGGAAGGTGTACAGACAGCCCCGGGAAGAAGATGTGACCCTCCCTGGGGCTTGGAGGGCTTTAGGTCAGACGACTTGAATGCAAAGAGAAATCAAAGTGGAAGGGCTGGCAGCTGCTAAAGGGAGGGGCTGAGAGGGGAGGGAGGGCTGCTCTGACCTGCTGGCTTTGGCTGATGGGGAAGCCAGTCGACCTGCGTATCAGCTATTGATGGAGAGAGAGGATCTCTTCTTCACTGGATGAGTAAGCACAGCCTGGCTCCGACACCCCCTGGGGGCCATCACCCATCGTCCCTGGCTTCTCTGTCTCCCTTCAGACAAGTCCAAGGCTAGTGAAGAGCTAGCGAGGCAGTCATTTCGGAAGGGGGGAGGCAGGAGCGAGGAAATCCGGGCTTTGAAAAGTGCTCCCAAGGGCGATACCTGGGGTTCCAAGCTGGTCTCTGGTGACTCTGGGGACTGAGCGACGCTCTACACAGCCTCTCAGAGGACTAGATAGAAACGGGGAGACAGGGAGACAACTGAGGGGATGATACAAAAGGCGGAGGTGGGGGCAGCGAACAGAAATGATTTAAAGCTGTAGTGTTCTAACACCGAGTGACAGCAGGTGTGCGTGTGTCTGCCTTACAAATCCTCAGTGGAGCCCCATTTGAGCACCCAGGTGGGGATGTCTGGAAATGCCAGGTCTGTACACCTCTGCTCGGGAACCAATTACCGGCGTCTTCTTGTAACTCACAGAACACTTCCGCTAAAGAGCCGAAGGAGACGAATGTGCCACCTGTCACCAGACCGGACCGCCCTCCACCTCGGCCTCACTAATACTTAGCTCAGGGCTTTGGCAAAAGCCAACATGAAAACAATCAGAATTTAATTTAAACTGTTGCGCCTCTGAAGGTAATTAAGGAGTTGGGCCAGACTGGCGTTCTCCCTGGAGCAGGCCAGGTGCGGCCCCCTCCGCAGGCCTCCTAGCAGCTGCGCATAATTACCTATTCGAGTGGCGCTTGTCCAGGCGCTCTGCCTGCAGGAGGCATGGCTGCAGACGCTCTGAGACTTGATGCCTGGCAGGGCCTGGATTAGACAACAGGAGAGGCCCCCCTGACCTGCCCGCCCAGTGTGCAGCCTCTCCCCTCTGCCTTCCTCCTGAGCTGGCAGCTGCACCTGTGGGCTCCTCCTCCCGGAGGGCGCCTCATGCCCCGGAATATTTAGCAAGCACCCGAGTGAGGATGTGTGCGGGAA